AAATAGTCCACAAACGAGCAACATTGTTTCTTCCTTGTTGCAAATGTTTATTTACTCTGAACTCATGTCTCTCTGTAAGTCGTGAGATTTTTTATCTGACATCTGACAGTTCATGAATGAAATATCTGTTTGTGTGTGGTGTGTTGTCTCTTGCCGTTTGGCTGTACAGCACACACTGTAGGACCAAATCTGGTATATCCATGATTTTTTATCCTGACGTGTGGGCTCTCTCAGTCTTTGAAAATCAGCCGACTGTTTTAAAATCTTGTAGTGTGACACAGCCTTAAGTAACAAATTTATCAATGAGGAAAGTTTAAGTTTAGTCCCTAAAGAAGAGAGTCAGACAAATTAATTTTGTTGTGAACAAACAGAAACTGGAGGTTGTTTCTACAAGAGAGGAGCCTGATAACTGAAAGCTCTGTCTCATTCTAGAAACTCAAGGAAACACAAGTAAACCTGCAGTCAGTTTCCTGAAACTCTAGATCACAATAGTTTGACACCTGCATGGAAAATGTTCTCATTTTTCTTACAAGTTGATCAGACTAATTACAGCTGCAGCCCACTGAGACACCAACTTAAACCTTTAAATAATGTACATGGTTTGGGTGAATGTGCTTAAAAATGATTAAAGTAGTTGAGCTAATAATGTGGAAATGCAAGAAACAGTTAAGGTTTAACTTTATTCCCCCAGTGTTGCTGAACATGTATTTTGTGTAGCAAAAACTTTAAACAGTAGATCATTTTAAACCTCTGGTGTAGTTTATTGTCTTTAATTCGGATGATTTGGGCTCTAATCTTTATAGTCAGTTCTGTTATAACCCCAAAAACTTTTGTGTTGTCCACATCTCTTGTCTCAGTGTTCAGTATGTATGCAGTACGACTGAGTATTAGGGCCACACAACAAGATTTTTTTTTAAATTACGAGAATAAAGTCATAATAATATGACATTAAAGTTGTAATAGTACAAGAAAAAAGCCATAATAAGCCTTTACATGAAAAAAGCATGCAGTTACCACTGGATCAAAATGAGGAATGTTGAGCAACTTGTCAAGGTGTTCTTTAGTATTGCTTAAAATAAATAGTTAATCTTTTAGCACATTAGCATCAAATTGGGCTGTACACAGAAGGTGTCGGGAAAATGAGGAAATGAGGAACAAAAAATGGACATGTCATGTAAGATTATGACTTTTTTTCTCGTAACATTACAACTTTTATCTTGTAATATTATGACTTTATTCTCATAAAATTATGACTTTAATCTTGTAATATTATGACTTTAATCTTGTAATATTATGACTTTATTCTTGTAATATTATGACTTTATTCTCGTAAAATTATGACTTTAATCTTGTAATATTATGACTTTAATCTTGTAATATTATGACTTTATTCTCATGCCTCTCCTTGGGCTGCTACCTTATCGTGGTGGAGGGGTTTGAGTGTCCCAATGATCCTAGGAGCTATGCTGTCTGGGGCTTTATGCCCCTGGTAGGGTCACCCATGGCAGACAGGTCCTAGGTGAGGAACCAGACAAAGCGCAGCCCGAAGACCCCTTATGACGGATATAAACATTGGATCTGGCATTCCCTTGCCTGGACGCGGGTCACCGCGGCCCCCCTCTGGAGTCAGGCCTGGAGGTTGGGCATGATGGCGAGTGCCTGGTGGCCGGGCTTTCACCCACGGAGCCCGGCCGGGCTC